GACACGAGATTAAACCTCATTATTGTATTGCTTTTAATTGCTAACAAGTGTGAAAATTACCCTGGCTGTTTCCCAAAGATTGGTTTCCTCTGCTTGTACAAAAGGCTTATTTAATTCAAGAGACAAAAATCAAGGACTGCAGGTATGGAGTCATGCATGGACCTACTGGCTGTATTAGGTATTTTTTAACATGTGTTGTGTGTAATAAGAGGAGACTTTGTATTTTAAGCAGTTTAGAAATAATGTAATTTTTTTTTTCATTTGAATACACAATAGTAAATGATCTCAGTCACTGGTAATGCTTTCTGACATGCAATTTATTATGGTGCTGAAGTAGATTCTTCAGAGCCCAGGGGATACAGCTCCTTTAAGCACCTTTGGGGAGACAAATCTTATTATCAATGAGTGTTTTAAGCTAGCATTTCTTTTCACATCTTGGCAAGATACTAATTTTGCTGCTCTCCCTTTTTATTTCTTTTCTGGTTATAAGTGGTATATGGATCTTGAGAGGAGGAGGGAATAGACCAGGACAGAACATATTTCCCTCGATATTTATTCTGGGTATGCATGTATTTGTTTTATATATTATAGGAAGCAGCCATCAGCTGCTGGATCCAGTTCAGTGATGGATCTGTCATGCCCCTGGATATTTATGACTCCAAAGACTTCTCCTTGTCAGCTACATCTCTGGATGAGAAGGTGGTCTCCGTTCACCATGACCCCAAATTCAAGTGGCCTGTGATTGCTGCTGAGACAGAAGGCCAGGGGACACTGGTGAAGGTAGAGATGGTGATCAGTGAATCGTGCCAGAAATCCAAAAGAAAGAGCATCCTAGCTGTTGGAAGTGGTAGCATTAAAGTCAAGTTTGGGCAGAGTGATGCCAACCCTAACATCAGTGACAGTAAACACAGAGGTGCTGGTGTCCACCTAGAAAATCATGCCAGTGATCGGCGTCAGAAAACTACTTCTCAGGAGCGAGATGGCCAGTATTACAGCTCCTCAATGGGCCATGAGCAAGGCAAAGGAACCACCACTCAAAGGTCTATTCTAAGTAAAAAAGAAGACAGAGAAAGCCTCCTGGATGATGACAGCCATCTGCAGAACATCCCAATAGACTTCACGAGCTTCCCTGCACAGGTGGATTTGCCACGAAGCAATGGAGACTTGGAAGAGAATGACCTAGTCCAGACACCTAGGGGTCTCAGTGACCTGGAGATAGGGATGTATGCTCTCCTGGGAGTCTTTTGCCTGGCAATTCTGGTTTTCCTTATCAATTGTGTCACTTTTGCTTTGAAGTACAGAAACAAACAAGTTCCCTTTGAAGAGCAAGAAGGCATGAGCCACTCTCATGACTGGGTTGGGCTGAGCAACAGGACAGAACTTCTGGAGAACCACATAAATTTCTCATCCCAACAAGATGAACGTATCACAGCCATTGACAGAGGAGTGGACTATGAAGAGAGCAAATATCTCCTCAACACAAATGCCACCAAAAATATTAATGGACAGTCTTTCAGGTCTACTGAGTCCACATTCACTGAAGGGAAAGAACAGAAAAGTGAACCAACTACTTCTCCTACCTCTAAGAGGAAACGGGTTAAATTCACCACCTTTACCACCATCTCCTCTGATGATGGGTGTCCAACTGTCAACTCAGTCTTGATGAGCAGTGAGGATGACATTAAATGGGTCTGCCAGGATATGGACCTGGGGGAGTGCAAAGAACTTAAAAACTATATGGAGAGATTACATGAAAATGTGTAGTGAGACACAAAAGACTCTTTTTGTTTGGTTTGTTTGTTTGTTTGTTTTTCACTCACCTTCTGCCTTTAATTTTGGGTAGTGGGGCAAAATGTTGTATTGATAACATGAATCAGCTGGTGGATAATAACTCAATGGAGCCCCAAGAAGCCACCCAAAAGCAACTGGGAGAGTTGGACAGCTCTTAAAATGCAAGCCTTCTCTGTGCTCAGAGATGGAAGTGAGAGATGTGTGAGGGTTTTTGATGCATGGTAACATGAAAAAACAAAACCTTAGCAAAAGAATACGGTCTCATTCTCTGAGCTTTCCCAGGAAATCAATAAATATAACAAACTCCAGTTCACACAGGTCTGCTGTTCAATATTGCAAGCTTTGGTTAAAAGCAAAAAATTGGTCTCAGAATAAATAGATCCACAAAGAGAGCGTATCAGTCAAGCCACATGCGGAGAATGGCCATCCATGAACATGAATTTAAAGCTGACAAAAAAACACCAGTGTGAGCAGAGCAGCTCCCAGAGCTGACAAGTCAGGAGTTTCCAAAGAATCTGGAGGGGGAAAAGGAATAACTGGGCTGTTTACAAACCAGCAGGTTTGCCTCCCGAGCACTGAGAATGGATACACATATACAGTTAAAACTGAAACTCTCTTTTTAAGTAGATGCCAAGGTAATAAACTTTGCCAGCCAATTTTCAGTATTTCTTAATTTGTAAAATAGAAGATGTTATCTATACTCAGAATATCACTCATATAAAGGAAGGTCTGTTTTGGAAAGTTTGAGAGAACAAGCTATTTTTAGAAGCCCACTTTATTTGATTGTCCTATTTCAAATTTGTATTCCCAGCCATTTCCCTGGAGCGCTCCCCATCTGTTATCCTGAGGGCACTTACTAGCATCAGTCAACTTTGGAACCACGTGGTTTCCTCCTTCCCTTCCGTGCACACTCACGTCTCCACAATGTGCTCTTGCCAAGCACAGACATCTTGGTACCACTCTGCTACTTGCTTTACATGCTGTCATGTACCAGAGTTGGCCACTATCTTGGGTAAATGTAGCTTGTGCTGAACTCAGACACCAACACCAGTTGCCTCGTTGTCCACCCCCTTCCCTGGGAGAGGTCAGGTAGTTCTGTTCCCTCTGTTCATGCTTCTTTAGACCCCTGCTCAGCACATTTAGAGGGCACTCGAAGGTCACAGAGGAGTGCTGCACATTCAACACTGAAGCCTGAACAGCTAAACTTGGTAGATAACATTTGTTTCTCCCAGAGGTGATGATTATCTTTTGCTTTCCTCTGATAAGGATGTACATATGGTGGGATTTCAGTGATTACTCTTTGAATCCGATGTGCCCTCCAGCCCTAAAACCATGACATTTTTGTGAGGTCCAAAAGCAGTCTCCAGTGACCAGTGGCAAAGTTCCAAAGCACTAACTAAAATGAAGATTCCCTTTATTTTCCAGAGTGAGCCCTTGCCCTCCTTTTATTATTAAATCTCCTGTCATTGAATCTAGGTTGCTCAGTTTAATACACACCCACCCTCCCACAAACACTTAGATTGAATCCCTCTATATATAGAATGTACTGTAGATTGTAAGAATGTAATATATATATATTTATAAACATGCCAACTGTGAATAAAATTTGCATTTTAGTGGCTTCATTTTTTTTTCCTATTCTGAACATCTCTTTCTTTTCACTGTCAGAACATTTACCGTGAAAGACTGGCAGCAGTATGGAGACTTGTCCTTTGATGAATCGGTGAATTAAGGTTCATGGCACAATCTAGTCACAATGTTTTACATTGTGCAGTGTTGGGGGGAGAAGGTATAACTTGAACAACATGTTGTGCTACAAATGTATTTGCACTGAGTCACCCTTCCAAGATTTGAAACTATGTGCAAATAAATCCACATGCATATTTGTAGCCTGAAAGCCTGATATGTGAGTTTCTGGGTTTGGTGCTATTGGGAAGATCCACATTTGGCTAAATGTCTTTGATGACAAATTTAACGGAGTAAGTTGGTATAAATAGGGCAAATGTGCACAAAAGTTTGGAGATCAGTACTTGTACGTCAGATGGTCTTTGCTTTCTTTCAGCACCTCTCACCAAGGCCTGGATTACTCGGTGCTATGCAAGCTCAAGGACAAAGTGCGGCAGTGAGGACAGCACAGTGCAGGGCCCACTCTAGCTCTGGATGAGCTCTCAGGTGAGGGAAGCAGCCTTAGTGCTGGAGCAAAGCACTGCAGCCTCCCAGCAGGTTCAGCAGTATTCCAGCCCACTTGCCTCCAATTCCGGAGCTATTTTGGGTGCTTTTTACACATCACTACATTGTGTCCACAGAGACTTCCCCTAAGCAATGTGGAGGTCAGGGTAGAAGTGGCCAAATCTCAGCTGGCAGTCTGATGCGTGCGTGCGTGCAAGGTTGTCTTGCAGAAGCATCACTGCATGGCCAATCTTTCTCCTTTGGAAAGAGCAGGTACAAGCCACACTGGGAGCAGGCTGTCAGAATTGCTTTACCAATGAGCTGCTATGGTAAATCCAGATTTCTGTGTTAGCTGCCTCTGGGGAACATGAGGAACTAACAGCAAGTTCATCTGGTAGCACAAACCACCAAAATGTTTTCCTAGGACAAAACAGCCGCCAGCTACAATGCTGAGGATACTGACATTCAGATTTATGCCTTTTTGCTTGCTCAGAGGTCCCTGCTGTCTCTAGCAGCTGTAGCTTGCTATTATCCATAGGGCAATACTATAAATAATACATAGTATTTACAGTGCTCTTTGTCCATAGATCTCAGAGTGCTCTGAGCAGGGCAGATTCCTTATTGGCACAGAGAACACAAAGGTTAAGTGATTTGCTCAAAGTATCATAGGCAATCTCTGACAAAACTAGGAAGAGGCATCGCTCCCCCCACACCCTTTAATGTATCAGTCACTGAACAGGATCCTGAGCTCTACTCAAGGAGAGCCAGAGTGGATTGTGGCCATCTGTATGCCAGCAAACACTTTTAATCAATCTGCTAATAGCAGAATAAATCAACTTCCTATAGAGATTTTTGTATGTGTGTATCATCTACCTATCATCTGTTGATAGGGGGTGTTTGCATATATTCAGTTTTCTTACAGTACAGGGTCCATACTTGTGAGACCTTCAGGGGCATCTCAAGAAAGAAAAGGTTGTGTTTCAGACAAAGAATTCCATTGGCAAATAAAGGAGGCTAATTTCTGTTCTCCCATTATAAAAGCAGTGATGGTGGTTAGGTGGTGCTTACATGTAACAGTTTGCAGCTGTGGTTCCCATGGGCAAACTCTTGAGCCTGATAAGGAGCCCTGCTGACAGCAAGAAGTCTCCTGTAAGTGTTATTAATTACTTTTTCTTTTTGCAGTTGTCTCTTTATTTTCATGTTTGAGTCTCTTTCTTTGTGAGTAGATAGACTGATACAGGCATGTTAACAACAGCAAGTGTATCTGATGCAATTTGGCTGTTTTGTTTTAGAGATGTTATGCATGAATACAATCTGGAGTAGAAACTCAATTGTCCTATAAATCAGGTAAGCTGGTTCTTTCCTGTCTTCCTTCATTTTAAGAGCTTCCCCTTCAGCAGTCTTAAATATATAGTGGTTTAGAGCAAGCTGCATTAATACACCAGTGAATTTAAAGTCTGAGCAATGTAGCTAAATAATTACTTTGGAACTAGAGTTCTATGGAGGTAAGTGACTTGAAAAAGCGAAATAGGTATTAAATCGATGTGCAGCCTGCATTCATTAGCTCTAGAAACTACTTTCACACATTGTTTCCATAATGAATGAGATGTAAATGAAATGAGCACACAGGAGACTCTTTGATTTGGTTCTATATATTCAGCTTCTCCAAGACTCTCTGCTGTCATTCCCCTGTGGTCTGTGGGACTGCTTCATTGTGGAATATCCTTATTTGGAGCTGAAGGACTCATGTACTATAACTTAGAGGAGTTTTTCATGTGTCATTTAGGAGAGTGTTGGTTGGACTCCTGTATGTATTAATCAAGCAAAGTCCAGTAAGCATCACTGAGGAATTAACTCGGGCAAGGAGCTATTGCCGTCAAATGATGCATTTAGACAATGCCTCAAACATGAAAAAAAGCCTCTGAGATGAGTGTATTTAGTCCTTGAAAGCCCAGGAGCTCTGTCACATATTTCTATGTGGTTATTGTAGTACCATATCCTGTCCATGCACAGCATTAGAGTACTGCAGTGATGCTACCTGTAGTACAGCTACTATATAAAATCAGTTCTATGATACTCCCATCCCATACTATCAGAAACACACAAGATAATGTACCTGTTTGAAGTAGGAGAGGCCTGTGTCTTACAGGAGGGTTAATGCCAACCTGAGCTTCCCGCGCAGGAGTAGTGGGACTGTCTATTCTTCACTGCCATGTCTGGCCCCAGAATGAGCTGCCTCTTGGGGACAGGTAGAAGAGAGGTCTAAAACAAGTCAGGATATCACTTACAAAGTGCTGAGGAGATAGGATTTCTGTTCTGTTTCCAGTTCACTTCTTACTGTTAGAATACTCTCAGAATGGTCTGCTTGAGCACTTGGCAACAGGCACATGTTTAAACACCTTTCTGAATGTGTGTTTGGTCTCCAACAGCCGTCATCTTCCTCAGGCACAGATAATGCCTCTTTCCTGTGAAATTAGTGAGTATGCTGCTTGGCTTCTTGGTGAAAGCTTTAGCAGATGAAGTTCAAAAGTTGCAGCAATAAGGGCCTGAGAAAAGCAGAACGCCTGGTACATCATGCCCATAATCAGGAGTGTTAGGAGGGCCAAGGTTACATGAGTCAAGCAAGTATGCCTAAAACTGGATTATTTTCTACCTTTTTGCCGATTTGATATGAAGACCTCTGTCAACAAATCCTTCATTATGCAGGCTTCCTGCGACAGCTCTGTGAGAAGCAGCAAATTAAGCAGCCCACGTATGTAACATTAATGGCTGGAGAAGCAGCACTGCTGATCTGTTTGTATGTACTGCCAATGCTCATTAAGGAATTCCTGTCACATTATAAAGGTGGCTGGTAGATTACATACGACAAGTTTCTGCATCTGCCTCCTTAAAACAGCCCCTGGAGCCTGGAGGCACACGTTCAGTACTGAACCACAGTTGTTTGCAATGTCTTCCAGAACTTAACTTGTTCCTTGTTTCAGTGGGTGCAAATGAGGCCTCCTGTTGCATTCCCCTTCTGCAGTCACAGGTGCTTCTCTCTAACTCGGATTGATGCTGTGTTGGCACGCTAACAGTGGCTCGATATTTGGTACCTGAGTACTCAAACCAGTATTACCAGCAAAAGAAAGCTGCAATTTTTAAGTGTAATGAGGAATTCGGTTATTCATGTTCAGACTTTCATTCCTAATAATTAAATTAGAGCTTACTACAGTCAGTTAACATATTAATGACCTAAAAACAGTCCAAAGAGCTCAGCCTTGATGATAGAAGCATGCAGTGATGACTAAGAGTCCCATTTTCAACATTTTATTGAACTCTGTAAGCACAGATGAACAGAGTGGAGGAGAAATAAGGATGGGAATAAAGGGACTGTATTCTCCATGAGCAGTGCTTATCTTAGCACACACTGGATGTGGCCAGCTGCCTTCAGCAGAAGGCTGTCCAGTGGCGGATTTTCACTGCAGCTTATTCTCCATCTGCTCTTGTGTGTTTGTGTCTCAGCCTTCTTTTAGAGGCCAGTGTGAGGAGCTGGTCCTGAGAGCCTCAGCTTCATCCCTGCATGGTGATGCTCAGCAGCCAAGTACAGAGCAACTTCCTTTCAGGCAGCCATCAAAGTCAGAAGTTTCTCTGATCCCTTCTTCTACCCTGTGCTGTGCCATGAGGTTCCATTAGAGATCTGATAGGTATCGCTACCTACCTTTGCCTGTGGCTGCCCAAGCTGTTGGGTATCTCACTGGCTATCAGTAGAGAAGTGTGAGCTTAACAGCAGGCTCTAGACGGGTCCCCAAGAGCTTTAGTTCTTCTTGTACTGATAATCGATGTGCCTCTGCTTTTCTGTTGCACCTTCTGGATTGCTTGCTTGAAGGCTGCAGGACCATGCCCTGCCTGCACTGCTGCACAATGGGGCTGTGCTCTTTGGGGGAGGGCAACGTTGCTGGTGCCCCAGATGCTGCTGGGTTGCTTCTTTGCCCAGGATAATCTGTATCCCTGTGCTCTGCTCCTGGTGGGATTCTCCCACCAGTACAGATGCATCTCAAGCCTCCCTGTTTCTCAAGCAAATCCTTTGTCTCACTGACTGGGGGCACCCATTTGCTATCCTGTTGTCAGCAAGCCAAAAACCCAAATCACTGTGCTCCTCTCTGCCATTAATAACTTTGTATTGTTTTCTTCCACCAGTTCTCCCTCTCAGGTCTAATCAATAGCATTGCTCTTAGCGTTTGGCATTCCCTTCTGCTCCGCCAGGCAGGATACCAAGGTCACATAAGTCCCTTTTGTGTTTCTCCTTTACATAGTATCAGGCTGCATGTCTTAATGCAAAATATTTTGTAATGCTGAAAAATCCCAAGTCTTGATCAGATCTAGCTCTGTACCCAGCTCTCTGCATATGCTTGACTGTAGCTTTAACACAGCACTCAATAATGTGTCTTTTGCAAGACCAGTTCATAGAGCTGAAGCGGCATTTTTGGCAGGCTGTGAGCTCAGAAAGGTTTTTTCCATCACATGGCACAGCCCTCACACAATCACACCAGCCCCTGAAGAGCAATAGGATTTTAATCAGCTTTTCTAATTGCTTTGTCCCCTGGTCTAGTACAGAACCTGTGTCCCCTACTCCTAAAGCACCCGTAATGAGGGGCTGTAATTGAAGAGGATGCTCTTCTAGCCCAATTGTAATGTGATTTGTGAGGCTACTTGGGTGATTGCTGCAAAGTGGCAGCAGAGAGGGAGAGCAGACAGACAGACAAGCTAAGTACCTTGACTCAAATCAGGCCTTAAACCATGGGAAATGTCAAGGTTTTGAGCCAGAGCTATTCCAGGGTGCAGAAAAATTTGGTACCAGCTAAATTATGCTGCTTTATTCCTCCTAAAAACATAGCATCACCCTCTCCTCCTTCAGAGTCACACCCTTACATCTTGAAAACCTGGTTCAGCTTCTCACCCAGCAATGGCCTGGGCTATAAACAGCTTCTCTGTTTGGGGTGTAGGCTTGAAAGCTCTGTAGGGGATGGAAAAGAGAAAGGGGAAGGGAGGGGGGAAAAAGGAGCAAAGGGGACTTAGCTGGGACATGGTGTGTATTTTGCTGGGAAGAGAACAGCAATAAAAACTGCCATTTCTGCGCTTGATAAGGTGTAAACAACCTGCGAATGCCCCGCACAGTAGTGTTATCTGCTGCTTTGTGTGGAAGAAAGGGTGGGAGATAATTTTCTGTTATAAGGTAGCAGGAAGCCTTAATGCGTATTCATGTATTTGTGTGTGTGTGTATCCATATATGTGTGAAACAGACTTATGCTGCCCTCGTTTCTAGCTGTAATTCATCAATTGCTTACTACCACTTCCCCATCCCCCATTTTAATATTTTTCACTTACCGTACTTTGAAGAGCTAGAAATAGCTTGTCAGATTGAGACAGCTCTTGAGAAGTTTAATTTTCCTAATGCTTGTTGGAAATCCCCTTCCTGAATCTCCAGGAATATTAAGGTTCTTAGCATGAGCTGTGCAGAGAGGGAATTTGCAAGTAAAACTGTCAGTGAATTGCAGTTGGGTTAGGAGAGGCTTGATGGACAGCACTGATGGGTGCAGGATCTGTCTAACCCAGGAGGGAAGGATGCTGTGGGTGGCAGAGCTGGAGGGGAGGAAGGGGTAGGTGCCGGCTGTTTACTTTCTCTCTGCCAGACCTACAGGGAATAGTCAGACAAAATGAGAGCAGAGGCACAGGGAGTGTTTACAAGCAAAGGTAACAGTTGTAATGGCTTTTGCTGCTGATTCCCCAATGGGTCTCTGCTGTCACTGCTGGTAGGAGTGCGTTGCTCCTGGTTGCTAGCAGTGTGGTGCTCCCATGACCTCTGCAGAAAGGTGTTGCTGTGTTGCTGACTGCACCCCTGCACCCAGATGAGAACAGTGGGGAGCCTCTTGCAGAGCCAGTGTTAGAGTGCAGGGAGAGCGTTTAAACGAAGCTTGAACGAGAGCGTTACTGACAGCACTGTTCATTACCTGAGTGCTCAGTGCCAGTCCCAGGAAGGTCGTACCAGTGTGAAGGATTTTTCATGTAAAGAGAGGAAATAAAAAGGTATTTTGCAAACAGCCAGAGAATATCAAGTGTTCCCTCACTATTGACAGTGACAGGGAAGCACAGTAATTTGGGAATAGGCAATCTGCCAATGTCTGAATCCTTGTCCTTGCTTCTGAGTCCAAATAGAGGTCCCTTCCTCACAAGTACACATACCAAAGGGGATTGTTCCCCCTGTACCATCAGGTGGATGTGAATAAGCAGCCACATTTGCAAAAGCAGGGTCCTAGCAGGGCTTTTCCATGCCAAGTTCCAAGGTGTCTGCTGAGTGCAGCTGCAGGTGC